CAGTTTTGGTCCAATTGGCTCGAATTTCTGCATGGGGGTGGAAATAGTCTCAATTCGCAAGCCAAATTTCAACTTTCCAGCTTGAAATTTTTCTTTTGTCCAATGCGTAATATGTGAAATGAATGGCCTTTTTGTGCTTGTTTCTGATGTATGTGTAATTTCAGCTATCTGAGACTATACATGAAACTGTATTAGAAGTTGTCTTATGTTCATGAGTTGGGATTCTTCAATATATATGTACAAGATATATTTTTGGACTTTGAGAACTGAAACATTATGTTTGTACTTATTTGAAGCATCTCAAAGTCCAACAATAAATCTTGTACAGCATTATAGCACCTTTTTGGCCTGTTGAAGAATTTTAGTCCTAACTCATGAACAATAGACAACTTCTAATACAGTTTCATGTAGTCTCAGATGGCTAAAATTACACATACATTTCTACAAGTTTCTAAATTCCAAGCTCATTTTTTTGATATCGTATAATTGCGAATATAATACCCTACCTGGATAATGCGCACCTTTACCTTACCTTCATTTTGGCTACCCCCATCCGCCTAATACCCTATCTCATGGGAACCCCCCCCCCCCCCCCCCCCCCGCCCTCCCTTAGTTTTAATAGAATTGCAGGAACCACAGATGTCTGATTCAAAATTGGAATGGTACAAATCGATGCTATCAGTGTCACCGTTACAAATAAAATGTCTAACAAACGCCTGTATCTTTGTGACTATAAAACAGATGAACCAAACAAAGAAAAACTGTCCATTCAACAGTTTCGCCTGTAAACGTGTACAGAACTCTTCAAATAGAGCATTAACGTTTGTAAACTTGTTAACGAATTACCTATACAAAGCGAGTTTTTACTTCGTCATACTTCCTCGGGAGCGTGGTAACACATGTGGTAGGTAGGTAAATGACGAAAGCAGCGTGCCAATACCTATTTTGATGAATATGTACGGTATAGAATTAAGTAAGATTTTTGTGAAAGTATTGAAGCCGAGAGAAAATCAAACCTTACTTTGGAATATTAACATTGAAAGAATGTGTTCTTATCTCTTCAAATGGGCGGCGGCAAAGCGATGTTGTGTTTTGTTTACATGACCTCATTTAAATGCCACCTATCTCATTTTCCACACCCCTAAAACGAAGTGTATCGGGCTTAGTTAAATACGGTTTAATAAGACCATGTCAAAACCCGTATTCCCGATACGATGTACGTATGTTTACTATAGTACATGAGTTAGCTCTACAGATAGAACGGTTACGTTTGTCAATTTGTACATAACCTATCTATACAAATATACAAATAGAGCAGTAACGTCTATAAACTTGTATAAAGAGCAGTAACGTCTATAAACTTGTATAAAGAGCAGTTACGTCTATAAACTTGTATAAAGAGCAGTAACGTCTGTGGTTTGTTGAACATCGATGTTTGAAGCAGGTAATTACGAAATCACAGAAATAGTATCAGTAACCGTACAAAAATCTTTCAGGCAGCATCAACTGGTAGATCAGTGAAAATTGTAGTGGTATACTCACCAATTATATTTGAGATCATTGACTACAGTCCATCTGGTCAACGATAGCTTTGTTATAGTTTGGTCTCGGGAGCTCTTGGTATGATATGATCGAGAAATGGTGAAACTTACGAATGCCTTTATTTCTTACATTCCGACAGCATATTGAAATATTTTACGTGGTCTTCGGGTCTTCGTTTAGTAAGTTCTGTGGTCGTCCGAAACACGACAAATACATATAAATACAGCATTATGGGACCTGTGATCCACCGACGCCAGTCACTGTTGACCTTTAGAAACCCTCGTCATAATATTTCAACTGACCACTGAGGTGGAAAAGTTGAATATTGAACGAAAGTCGACTTGAGCGATAAATTTTAGTGTATGAAAGTTCTGTGTGGTATCTAAGTTGTACAGCACGTTCTGTGTATGAAAGTTCTGTGAGGTATTTAAGTTGTACAACACGTTCTGTGTATGAAAGTTCTGTGAGGTATTTAAGTTGTATAGCACGTTCTGTGTATGAAAGTTCTGTGTATGAAAGTTCTGTGAGGTATCTAAGTTGTACAGCACGTTCTGTGTATGAAAGTTCTGTGAGGTATTTAAGTTGTACAGCACGTTCTGTGTATGAAAGTTCTGTGAGGTATTTAAGTTGTATAGCACGTTCTGTGTATGAAAGTTCTGTGAGGTATTTAAGTTGTACAGCACGTTCTGTGTATGAAAGTTCTGTGAGGTATTTAAGTTGTATAGCACGTTCTGTGTATGAAAGTTCTGTGAAGTATTTAAGTTGTACAGCACGTTCTGTGTATGAAAGTTCTGTGAGGTATTTAAGTTGTATAGCACGTTCTGTGTATGAAAGTTCTGTGAGGTATTTAAGTTGTACAACACGTTCTCTGTATGAAAGTTCTGTGAGGTATTTAAGTTGTACAACACGTTCTGTGTATGAAAGTTCTGTGAGGTATTTAAGTTGTACAGCACGTTCTGTGTATGAAAGTTCTGTGAGGTATCTAAGTTGTACAACACGTTCTGTGTATGAAAGTTCTGTGAGGTATTTAAATTGTACAGCACGTTCTGTGTATGAAAGTTCTGTGAGGTATTTAAGTTGTACAACACGTTCTGTGTATGAAAGTTCTGTGAGGTATTTAAGTTGTACAGCACGTTCTGTGTATGAAAGTTCTGTGAGGTATTTAAGTTGTACAACACGTTCTGTGTATGAAAGTTGTGTGAAGTATTTAACTTGTACAACATGTTCTGTGTATGAAAGTTGTGTGAAGTATTTAAGTTGTACAGCACGTTCTGTGTATGAAAGTTCTGTGTGGTATCTAAGTTGTACAGCACGTTCTGTGTATGAAAGTTCTGTGAGGTATCTAAGTTGTACAGCACGTTCTGTGTATGAAAGTTCTGTGAGGTATTTAAGTTGTACAGCACGTTCTGTGTATGAAAGTTGTGTGAGGTATTTAAGTTGTACAACACGTTCTGTGTATGAAAGTTGTGTGAAGTATTTAAGTTGTACAACACGTTCTGTGTATGAAAGTTGTGTGAAGTATTTAAGTTGTACAGCACGTTCTGTGTATGAAAGTTCTGTGTTGTATCTAAGTTGTACAGCACGTTCTGTGTATGAAAGTTCTGTGAGGTATCTAAGTTGTACAGCACGTTATGTGTATGAAAGTTCTGTGAGGTATTTAAGTTGTACAACACGTTCTGTGTATGGAAGTTCTGTGTGGTATCTAAGTTGTACAGCACGTTCTGTGTATGAAAGTTCTGTGAGGTATTTAAGTTGTACAGCACGTTCTGTGTATGAAAGTTCTGTGAGGTATTTAAGTTGTACAGCACGTTCTGTGTATGAAAGTTCTGTGAGGTATCTAAGTTGTACAACACGTTCTGTGTATGAAAGTTCTGTGAGGTATTTAAGTTGTACAGCGCGTTCTGTGTATGAAAGTTCTGTGAGGTATCTAAGTTGTACAGCACGTTCTGTGTATGAAAGTTCTGTGAGGTATTTAAGTTGTACAGCACGTTCTGTGTATGAAAGTTCTGTGAGGTATCTAAGTTGTATAGCACGTTCTGTTTATGAAAGTTGTGTGAGGTATCTAAGTTGTACAACACGTTCTGTGTATGAAAGTTCTGTGAGGTATTTAAGTTGTACAGCACGTTCTGTGTATGAAAGTTCTGTGAGGTATTTAAGTTGTACAGCACGTTCTGTGTATGAAAGTTCTGTGAGGTATTTAAGTTGTACAACACGTTCTGTGTATGAAAGTTCTGTGAGGTATCTAAGTTGTATAACACGTTCTGTGTATGAAAGTTGTGTGAGGTATTTAAGTTGTACAACACGTTCTGTGTATGAAAGTTGTGTGAGGTATCTAAGTTGTATAACACGTTCTGTGTATGAAAGTTGTGTGAGGTATTTAAGTTGTATAGCACGTTCTGTGTATGAAAGTTGTGTGAGGTATTTAAGTTGTACAGCACGTTCTGTGTATGAAAGTTGTGTGAGGTATTTAAGTTGTACAGCACGTTCTGTGTATGAAAGTTGTGTGAGGTATTTAAGTTGTACAACACGTTCTGTGTATGAAAGGTTGTGTGAAGTATTTAAGTTGTACAACACGTTCTGTGTATGAAAGTGTGTGTGAAGTATTTAAGTTGTACAGCA